CTTCTGCTTTCTGGAGCCAGAGACAAGGGGCGGCCATGGTGGCGGTCATTAGACAGTGCTTGCATGCTTCTATTTCCCAGTTAAGGTATGCATCCCTGTTTTGGAGAGCTGATCCTTGGCGGGGAAGGCTGTGTGTGGTATGCAAGTCTATTGTAGTACTCTTGTATGTACTGTATGTAGTAGTACTATATGTATTGTAGTTCTACATGTAGTACTATTGCAAATCATGAATTTGCTTCAACATTTCATCAGAAACCTGCAAAAGGTAGGGTACAAGACTGTTAAAGTGGAACATTTCAGAATTATCAGCTTACTTGCACGTGATCTGTTTTTCTGTTTAACATTAACATTTTAAGCTGATTACAAAGGCTAGGTCTTAGTTCTGTTATAATTCACAAAGGCATGTTAAGATATACTCACTCTATGCCTCCACTCTGGTACAAAAAATACATTCTCTAAAGCTCTTTTTATTTACATAGCTGTTCTACCTGCTTTGAAATATGCAATTCTGCAGGACCTGATTTTAAATTTAAACTTCATACTCTGTGGTCCTTGTCAACTTGGAGAAATGTATTGAAGAAAACCAACTATTTGGGTTGGTCTAATAAAAGAGATCAAATTCACCCAAGGAACCTTGTCTGCCTATGTCCTTAGACCAACACGGCTACAACCTAAACCCTTGAAGAAAACCAAAATTTCTTGAGGCCATGAGCAATGTCAGAAAGTCTTATGAGCACTGAAGTGATTGCTGACATACAGACTATTATAGGTAGGGCAGAACATACTGAAGTAGCTCAACATGAGTATGGGACTTGGGTAATATGGAGGAATTGGTGGTCTCCTGACAAATGGCATGAGGAACTTTCTACTCCCTTCAAAGGAATATTAAGGGAAAGATTTCTATAGAAGTGTCTTCAATAGTTTTTACAGTCAGCGCTCAAGATCTTTCATATATTTTTTCTGCAGTGCAGCTTGGTTTGTGATTATGCTTAAATTTGGCCCTACTCAAATAAATTCTAATATTCTGATCTGTCAAAATAAGAAATGAGAAAAATAAATTTTAGAGTAATGCTAATACTGCAAAGTTGATTTCTACATCTGATCTCTTCATTGTGGTTTCTGGTTCTTCAGAAAACTATATTTATACAGTGGCAAATTTGTATTTTAATGACCTACAGAAGACATCACAATCTCTATGGTAATGTTTTTCAGAGAAGTGTCTCAAGTCTACAAAGGAGAATAGCCCATTACATGTATTTGAAAAAAATCAGGGTAGTGAGGAGATGGTTCTCAATGAGATGCATTTTATACAATGATAGTGTAATGCCATAACTTTAATTATATATATGTTTGACACCACTGAGATATAGATAGAGATATAGATACTACTCAGTTCAGGCTACTGAACACTGGGGGCATTGCCAGTAATTGGCCTGTCATAGAAACCAGGGCATAGTCGACCTGGTGGACATGCCTCCTGGCAGCAGGCAAGCAAGTTGAAGGCTGTGCAAAACAGCCCTCAATTGCCCTGTAGCCCCCTGGCCCACCACCCCTTGTGTGCCCTTGCCATGGAAAGTGGCTGCTTAGCCTGTGGCCACTAACCCCACTGTCTCCACACTGGCTGATGCTGCCACTACCATTGTGGTTGCCACCATGGTGATCGCAGCTGCTGCCACTGCCATGGCCATAGCCATCACTCTTTACCCTGGGCAGGATCCAGCCTATCCAGCACAGATCCCCAGTTGAGTTTGGCACCCTGATACATATTGGGAGCATCTACACGAGATGCTTTGAACATAGTAGACTAGTTGTACAGCGCATTAGCGCAGTGGGTCAAACCTGTGCTAATGCCCAGTCTACTGCGCATTAACATCACAAAAAGACCATTTGCTTGCACTAATGTGCAGTAGTGGAAATTACTGTGCATTAAGTTAGTACCTATCATTACAAGTACTAACTTAATGCTGTAATTATGGCACATTAATGAACATGTAGATGTACCCATTGACACTTAACATATAAATCATTCACCTAGTAATTATACACCAGATTTTGCTTGAAGTACAGAGTATTGTAAAGATATTGTCCAGAAGACACAATAGACTTGTGTGATAGAAGTAAGCAGGTGAGCCCTGATCCTGTACTGTCTTGCATTGCACGTAGTCATTTACCTGCGTAGGAAATGAGTGTAAATACTGTCATTCCGGTTTGTCCTTTCTTATGTCCAGTGTGTTTAAACAACTACACAAGACAAAAGGAAGTGGGAAATCCAGCTGCCTGTCCTGAAATAATTTTTCTCTGATAATACGTGCATTTTAAACTGTATCTTAATTTTGCATTCCTCTCTTATATGTTGCCTTCACAATTTACATCACCATTCTTTGACCATGTGTGTGACAACACCAGAACAGCTCTAACCATGTGAAATGCTTCTCTCTAAATTCTTGCCTCATTTCACTGGGGTTACATGGAGTCTGAAAACAGAATCAGATTATCTATACAGGCAGCAAAGCAAAAATGGGTGTATTCTGAAAGTCTTATAGTGGTCTCTTCCCCAAAGACTTATGTTTTTTCTCTTTTTCCCCCTCAGGGTGAGCAAGATGATAGATCTTTCAAGCAGTACAGGACATCAAGTCCTAGTTCTGCTGGATCTTTAGGTTATGGTCGCTACACTCCAACGTCCCATTCTCCTCAGCATTACAGCAGACCAGGTAATTCAGAAGCAAGTTCATTTATTTATTTGCCTATGTTCAGGTTCATGGTACAGACATGATTCAGATCTTGCTGTTAAAACATACAATAATATTTTGGTTAATATGAAAAGAATGGCCTATGAGAAAAGCAAATTTCTTCACTTACGCACATACATAGGGTTTTTGTTTGTTTGTTTTTAATATATTTTGCCAGGCATTACAGATTTTGGTGTAAGATTAGCAGAAGATAGAGAATGGACTTGATCCTGCCCATTCTTTCTGCTCATGACACCTTACCCAGTCAAACCCCAACTCTTCCACCCTATAGAATCATGGGTGATTATGAGAAGAGTTAACAATCCTCTTTGCACTGGTAAAATAGGGTCTGAGGACTGGGCTAGAAAAATGGCTGTTAAATTTCCTGCTAATCAATTTGCTGGTCAAAATCCACCTGCAGTGAAGTCTGCAGCAATCAGTGCTGCAGTGGAGGAAGCAGCTTAGCTTATTTTTGCATGCTCATAAGAGGTGGATTCAGCCCACCCTGGCCTTTTTGCAGGAGCAACTGAACTGCTTAAAAGTGTTCGCTCAACTGGAAATGTTCCATAGTTTTGTCAGTGATTTTTTTTCTTTTTGGAAATTAGAAATGTGCTTTAGAAGATAGGGGAGGGTAAAGGAGGTCCTCAAAAAGGTCACATTCAAACAGAAAATTTAAATTGAAAGTTGTAAGAAACAGTTTACAGAAAATGGCATCCTTGTTATTCACAAAGTATTTTCTGGGGATGGACAAATATGAAGTGTCAAAGATCTGTTTAGGAGATTGGGAATTAGTCTGTGCTGAGACTGGCAATTCTATCATGATTATATTCACTTGTACCCTAGGGGAGCAGGGTAGGAAGAGGAAGAAAAGCATAAACAGTTCTGCTTTAAAAGTGAGTTTTAAAGCTGTAATTTTCATGAGCAGCTAGAAGTATTCATAAATTGTAATTGTAGTAGTTATTTTCACAGTATTAGCTCTCAGTGCAATATGCTATCAGGATGTTACAACAACAAAAAAGGAACGAAGGTGAAAGATCTGAGGCTTTCGTTTATCAAGCTGCTTCGGGCCCCTCCACAAGTACAGATAAAGGCACAATGGGATCTAGTGTGCAATCCACATTATGGATGCATGCATGGCAGGGGGTGTGATTGCAGGATCACACATTAGACCCCATCATGTCTTATTGTCAGTGCAGGGGGAGCCAGATCCCAGGCTCCCCCTGCACTGGCAAGAAGCAAAGCCCCAAGGGCTTCATGCACCCCATGGCTGGGAGATACAGCTGCTGAGATCTCCCAGCCCCAGGGATGTGTGAAGCCCCTGGGGCTGGGAGATTATGACAGCCATGGTCTCCCAGCCTTGGGGGCGCGTAAAGCCTTCCGGGCTGGGAGACTGCAACAACTGTGGTCTCCCAGCCCTGGGGGTTTCACACACCCCTGCAGCTGGGAAACCATGACAGCTTGAATCACCCAGCCCCAGGTGCTCCACACACCCCTACAGGTAAGAGATTGCAGCTGTGCCCTGCAGCTGCTGGGACCCAGCTTGGTCCCTCACCAGGAGGCATGCTGCTGAGACCCAGCATCTACAGCTGTGGGACTCTGGGTCCCAGCAGTTGTGGGGTACTGCTGGAACCCAGAGTTGGCAGCTGCCAGGGCTGAGTCCTTTCAGTTGCAGGACTCCCAGCCACAGCTGAGCATGGTGGAGCTCTGTGGCTGGGAGCCCCGTCAGCTGACAGGGCTCCTAGCTGCAGGGAAGACCTTGCTACAGGTGTAAATTAAAGCTGGATACAAATTAGCTCTAAAATTAGTACAGATTTTCAAGGTCTAACTTCATAGCTGATTGGACCTTTTTATGGCACGATACGTACTTGCACGTGTAGCTGGTTTCAGTTAATTGTACAATGAGCTGGTTAATACCTGTAACATGTAGAGGGGGCCTCAATCACATGCCTTACTTTAAGCACCCAACTTCAGTGGGGCTTCTTAAATTTTAAACTTAGGGATGCTCTTAATACCCTGTTGTATTGTGGGCTGGACCTATGTCCTTTGAAGCCACTAGCAAAATTAACATTGATTTCAATGAGAACTGGTCCTTGATCTAATATAGTTCTTAGTGGGGGAAAAAAAATAAACTCCCCATTTCATTCCATGTAGACCCATTATGAACATATGTCATTCCATCTTGCAGCTTTTGCCAACATCAATTTTGCCCGAAGTGCAGTTATGCTCTTCATAGTGCCTTTTTCTGGAATATTTTCTGATGTTCCACCTACAATTCTGTGCCTTTATCGAACTGCATAATGTGACCAGTATTGTTCTTAGAAGACAGATTAGAAATAGAATAGATTTTTATTTTAAAAATCTGTACTAATTTCTAAACTTGTATATCATCAAGAGGAAAATGTTCCTGGAAAAAAAAGGTGTTATGTATGTTGTGGCTTTCAGTAAGTGAACTAAATAGTTTATTTTCACTTACTCTTTGTTACCCCCTAGCTGGTACTCAGAGTCTTGGTACCAGTAGCTGCATCTCCCTGCCCCAACACCCAAGCCCTACATCTACATTCAGACATCATTACATCCCTTTCTTCAAAGGTAAGGTCCAGGAATG